AGAAAAAAGAACATGTCATGTCAACACAGGAAAGTATTTCTCTTCCCCCCCCCCTTTTTTTAGTATTAATAAACATTTACAGAGGTTTTGGATTTCCATTCATTCATTGCCACACTTTTCTCCCTGCCCACCCCTCCCCACCAGTTCGTTCCCCTCTCTGAAAAGAAAAAGAAAAAATCCCTTCATTGGTATACAATTCTGCCATCCCTTCCCCCCACCCCCCACCCCAAGTACACTTCTCTATGCAACCTTAATTCTGAAACAGATGAGGGTAAGAACAGATTAGAGGTGATATTGAGTATTATGGTTAACACAGGAAAGTATTTTATGAAAGGGAAGATAAAACTCTCAGTAAAATAGAAACAGAAGAGGGGCTTCCTCCAATTCATAAAGAACATTTTTAGAAGTTTTACTGTTAACAATACTAAATAGTAAAGATGCTGAATGCCTCCTTCCATGATTTGGAACAAGGCAAGGATGCTTAACCACTTCTACTCAACACGGTATTGAAAAGCCCAGTCAGTGCCCTAAGGCAAGAGAAGGAAAGAAATGGCAACACATTGAAAGAAAAGTTTCCTCCTTACAGATGGTATTACAGTACACCTACAAACCCCCAAGGGATCACAACCAAAACACTTCTAGGACCAGTAAATGGGTTTGATATGATGCAGTCCAGAAGGTCAGCACATAATGGTTATTTTTATGTACTGTCAACAGTTGCAAAAACATTAAAACAAAATAGTCGTTTCAGAAATGAAAGTCATTTAAGTCCAACGAAACATGAACAGCATGCTAAAAATGGTAAGACAACAATGAAACAACTTAAAATAGATACCATGTCCACAGTTTGAAAGATGCAGTAAAGATATACTAACGGTGTCATATATAAGTATAATGCAAATCTCAACAGATAGGTTATAACATTTATATTGAAAGCTCAAGGAGTTATAATAAACAAGTTTAATAACATGGTTCTGTTAGAATAACTAAAGGAATTTTTAAAAATGATGCTGGAAGAATCAAATTACTCAGTTTTACAGTATATATGGTTTAGATATCTTGTCAGGTAGTATGGTACTGGTAGAAGGAAACTTACAAAATAGAACAGAATTAAGTACATACAGTCAACTTTTTTTTTTACAAAGGTACACAATAAATGAAGAGAGGATAGCTTTTGTGGCAAATAGTATTGGAACAGCTGGGTATCCCCTAGGAATAAAAATTCATTTCAACCTAAGCTTCATACATGACACAAAAATTAATTTGACAGACTATGGATTTAAAAGTAAAATTCTAAAATGTGTTGGGAAGGGATATGAGAATAGTTTGCTTGCTTCAAAATATATTTTTTTAAAGAGTTCTAGGTGAAGAGTTCTTAGACGTGATGCTAAAATCACAGTCCATTAAAGATAAGGTATAATAAATCTGATTTTATAAAAATTAATGTATACATGGAACATACTATGCCACACTCTGTGCTGGGCCATATAACAAATATCAGTGAAATAATACTTGCTATGTTTTGTGAGAACAGGACTTTTTTTTCAAAAACATTTAGGAATTAAATAATATCTAAATAATTTATGGGTCAATGAATAATTCAAGGGACATTAGAAAACCTATTAGAATTTGTGAAATATTTCACTAAAGCATTGCTTAGAAATGAACTGCACATTTTTAAAAAGTAACAAATGTTTAAAATCACTGACTTAAGCTTCTACCTTATTTGTGTGAAGTGATAAATAAAAATTAATAAAACAGAAAACAGGCCAATAATAACATTAAAAAATCTTTTTCAGTGGTAGATAACAACAAGACTAAAAGTTCATTCAAAATAGAAAAAAGTGATAAATTCCTTGGGTATAAAGAAAAATAACAAACCCAGAAATAACCATTATCAGCTAGGAAAAGGGAAGACGACTACTGGTAAAGATAATGAAAGATGTTCTGATAAATTAAACTTAGATGAAATGCCAGAATTTCTTAAAATAGACAAATTACCAAAACTGAAAGAAGGAAATCTAATTATCACTATGTCTGTTAAAGAAGGTAAATTCATAACCTAAAAATTTTCTCCACGAAAATTCCAGGCCAAGATTGATTCCTTGGCTGCATTCTATCAAACATTTTAAAAAGACAGATATTACAAAGCCAGTTTATGAAAGCAGGGATCCCTCCAACTCATACAGGGATATATGACTGCTGAAGCTAAGCTTGACAGTGTATTGTGAGAAGAGAAAATTGCCAGGATCTCTCTGCTGAAGAGAATGAAGCAGCAACCCTACCTCACACCATATACAAGATTGCTCACAGACCTAAATATGAATGCTAAAACAACCTCCTCAAAACACAACTAACGTGAGTAACCCTGAAATAAGCAAACATTTGGGGGGGGTGGGGAGAATGCCACTGAAGTAGGAAAATATATAAATTGAACTTTAAATAAAAAACGAAAAATAATACTCAAAACAATGTTTCTATCCATTCAAAAGACTTAAATAAATGGTTATGCAGGCCCACAGTAGGATAGAATTTTCACAAAATACATATTTAACAGCAACATGTATGAGGACTATATATTTTAAGACTTCCAAAACTCAGTAATGAAGCAAGTACACAAATAATTGGAAAAAAACACTTGCAAAGGTAATTCTTAGGAGAAATGAATAATGAGCATGTATAGAGGTTTTCAATATCATTAGTGACTAGACATATGAAAGTAGTCATTGGAACCATGAGACACGAATGTATATTCATTAGAGTGGCAAAAAAAGGAAGGCAGAGAACAGCAAATGCTGAGGATACAGTGACCAAAATGCCTGCTGATAGGCATATACAATGACACAGTTGCTTTCAAACACTCTGTCAGCTTTTGGTATTATTCATGCAGCCTAAAGACTCAGCAGTTCACTTCTCAGGAGAAAGTAAAACACGACCACAGGGAGACTTGCTCCAGAATGTTCATGGCAGTATTCACGGTGGCCAGTCTTTGACTACAAACTCAACAACTCATAGTTGGAACGGCCTCATCACGGACATCTAGTGGATTTTCAGGGGCTGTACAGCACATGGGAAGACACTGTCCATGTTTCTCCCAAGGAACAGCTGGTGGATTTGAACCATGTGCCTTTGAGCTGGCAGTACAACTCCCATCCTACTAGGCCATCAGACCTCATCCTTTAATAACAGATACACACATATCACGATGTAGTTACGCAGTGTAGCTCAGCAAAGAAAAGGGAAGCAGTTACTAATAAAACAACATGGTTAAGTCTAAAGAAGCTAGAGAATAAAGTGATAGTGCATCCCTGAATGTATGTGACATTCTATGAGAGAGAGAACTCGTGATGAGAATCAGAAAATCAAAGCAGTGTTTGCTTCCAGGGGGAAAGGTCATGACCGAGAAAAGGAGTGATAAAAATTGCATTCACCCATCCCATCTTCATCCCCGTCCCAGATCATAAGAATCCTGTTCCTGTCTTGGAATTTCCCTAGTCGGGCAGCACACCACACCAGGTAATTCTATGTATGGGAAGAAGTGAAGAAGAAAATTCATCATCGACTGACATACTTTGGACATGTTGCAGGGTGGGACCGGTCCTTGAAGAGGGATGTCATGCTTGAGAGGGTGGAGGGACAGTGCAAGAGAGTAACACCCTTGATGAGATGGAATGATTCAGTGACTGGGGTAATGGGGTGTGTCAGAGACAATAAGATTGGCACAGGATAGAACAGGGTTTAGGGCTGTTGTACATGGATCCTCTATGAGTCGCAGATGACTCAACAGCACATAACCACAACAAATTCTAACACACACAACACACACACTTGAGACAGATTTCCTTAGATGTTAAAATTACATACATAAAAATTATGCTATTATAGCTTTATAGTCATGTAACAACAAATACTCTTATCAGTTCTTTAAAATGCATTTCTCCTGTGAATATAAAAATAAAAAAGACAAAAACCACATGACGTGACTTATTTTGTACCAGCATAAATTCTTAAGATTGCATCAAGTGCTAAAAAGGCACTGCTGTCTGTGTGTAAAGTTGTGTGCTTGCATGGTTGGATGAAAAATGCAGAACTATTACTACTGCCATTTTTGTGTCCTGGCTGCCTTGTTCAGGAAATACTGTTTGTGCCAGACGCCTGATATATACCAGCTGCTCTGAGGGGTTCTTGCTCGGTACCATCAAGTCAGAACCGATTCATGGCTGGGCCTCCAGTGGGTTTTAAGAGGCAGTGGGAGTTGACTGCACATCCTTCTCTTCCCAAACAGCTGGCGGATTTGAACTGCTTGCCTTTGGGTGGGCAGCTCAATTCCTTACCACCAGGGGATTATCATTCTCATGTTTTACCTTGTCAACTGCCTCAAATCATTTAGGGGAAGTGATTATATTAATAATGGAAAATACTGGCCATTTTGGGGAACAAAAACAGCACCCAACAGATTTTTAAACCACAGATATAAATGCATAGCATGTTTTTCCTTTCTGTTAAAAAAGGTTAAACTAAGTATTTTTTTTTCTCTCTGCTGCTATGGATTCATTGTCTGCAAGGTTGAGTCACCATCCACCCGATGGATAAAGTGATGCAAAGAATACATCATTTTAAAACCCAATGATATTGACCGCAAAACACTTCACTTACATTTGATTATAAGGGTTAGACTTGAAGAACCAGTGTGAAAGTATGGAATATGTTAAGAGTCCCTAATGGATCATAGATGGCATAAAAAATTTAAGAGCTCTTCATTACATTCTTAGGAGAAAGAAAGAAATCCGATCTGCACGCAAATGTGCTCACTCCCATTCTGTCCCTGTGATAACTCGCATCGGCTGCTTTGATTTTAGCAGCTGGATAGGATATTTTCTGTCCCCTCTCATTTAACAAAACCATATCACCTTGGCCCTCAGGAGGAAAGAAAGCATCTTCATTCCCGGAGGGCATATTCTAATGTAACATTAAGGAAAAGAAAAAAAAAAACCTCTCACCTGTGCGGTTTCATTGTTAATCCATCCACCCAACTTCTCTCCTCTCTCTCCTCTCCAAGCTGCACTCCTTTCCCCATGAAGCTTTTTCTCTGTTAAGCTATTTAGTGTCTGATTGACTTCTTTTGTTGCAGCCTTGCGCAAATCAACCTGTTGATAGAGACCCACAAAAATGTAAAGTGAAAACTTATGACACTTGGTGTGGAGTTTTTTGTTGTTGTTGTTAATAAATTCATGTGTAGACTCATGAAAATTCTCAACTTTCAAAAAGGGACTGAAAACTGAAGATGGGGGATGATTGTATGAAATAGAATGTGAATGAAGGAAAGTGTGGAAACCAATATAAAACAAAAACAAGTAAAAATAAATTAAGATGGAAGTTAACAAATGGACAGCATAGTAGTAAAGTCTAGATCCTTCCTAATCAATCAAATGGCACCAATAAAAAGTCTTTAGAAATTCTCTCTGGAGATAACTTGCTTATTTGAAGCAGTGCGTTTTTTTCTTCATAGAAGAAATGTTTCAACATTTGTTTTCAACATTTTGAAACTGCAATATGAATTCATTTTTAACCTTTGCTGGGAGGGGGTCCAGCACATCTATGTAGTTTGACTTATTAATTAAACTCTTAATCAGTTTCCTATCATTAAAGTGAGCCTGATTAATGTGAAAAGTATAAGCTTATGATGTGGCTTACATTTTTTATGCAAGTACCTTAAGCTTTGAGCACGATGGTGTACTGTCACGTCACCATGTCCCAGAGCCAGAGGCTGGGTTCTACAACAGGCCTGGTGTCTCACACCCTGGAGAAATGGAGGGGATGACTGACTCTTTATAACCTTGGAAGCAGACACTGAACTTGAAGAGCAGATTCCTCAGTAGAGCTGGGAGCTGTGGTCTAGTGAAGATCTGTACAAAGGCTATTTGCTCAAGTGGCTTGTTGACGGCAGCTTAAAGTTGTTAGCACCTTTTTTTCATGGGTTAACTAAGGGGCAGAGGATAGGAACCTTGCAAGGGGAAATAACGGGGAGCCGGTGCCAAAACGAGAGCGTGAATTGCACTGGCGAGGCAAGCACAGCCTTAATTTGTAGTCTCTCAATTTTCAGTTCCTACTGCCAACTCTGATCGCTCCTTCCTCCTCTTTAAAACAGGCTGGTGTTCTGGGGCTAGGTCGAAGTTGTCACAACACAATTGTTTATGCCCTGCTCCTCCTGGGAAGCCAGCTTTTCAAAAGATGGCAGGCAAGACCATAAGGACAAACACGGCATTAAGACCATTACTGTAAAAATAGAAGGGTAACTAGTAAAACCTGGACGGGAACCCAGGGCAGGTAAGGGGTGGAAGCAGAGGGCTGAGGATGGGTAGCGAAGAAACCATAGGTTTGCACAGTTTGGGGGGTGGGGGGCAGGAAATGAAAGGATCCAGGTGAAAAGGCAGGGTAATTATGGGCAAGGTCCAATGGTGATTAATTTTACAAAACAATGCTTAAGAAACTACAAGAATGAGGAATAGTGTGAAACACAGTGTCTGCAAACTTGGTAAGCAAACCAATTAAAAAAAAAAAAAAGACCATTACCTTTCGGTAACTTGCAAATGGGAAATGCTTGTGATGCCCTCAGAGATTCTTTATTTCCACCATCCAACCTTCTCACGGGCCTGGGGAAAATGCATGTGTAACCAGCCCCCTCGCCACTCTTCCAGGGAAGCCACTTGGGTGATCAATGTACCCCACACTCCTCGTGTGGAACCAGGGCATTCCTGGGGCATCCTATCTTATCAGATGGGGAAACTGGCTTGCGAGTCGTTGGGAAAACATGTTCGATCATCTAGAGGCCTAGCTGAGATGTTTACCACGTTCCCGGCAGCGCTTCCACACCAGGCACTTCTGTGGTGCACGGTTTCTGCCGTGGGAGCCTCTGATATATAAGGAGTGGCTGCAATATCATATATTCCGTCCTCTTTAAAACTCCCTGGAAGAGAGCAAAGCTGCAGGATCTGCTGTCAGTGGGCCAAACTGTTAGGTTCAGCTGTTGTGGGCTCGTCCAGCTAATAAATACTGAGAGCCCCAGTGTAGGAAATGTCTACATACAGGGAAACTTTTAAAATGAGCTTAACTCGGGTCACTGCCTCTGGATCAATCACAACTTAAGAGTGACCCTCTACTGGGCTGGAAATCTTAATGGGAGGAGTCTGACCCTCTCAGACACACACACACACCCTCCCTCCGCGAACTACTGGTGGATTTAGACCCCTGGAGACAGGTGGGCCTTATACACACACACACACACACACACACACACACACACACCCCTCCCCAGACTACTGGTGGATTCAAACCCCTGGAGACGGGTGAGCCTTCAGTCAGCAGTACAGCCTACTCCAGAGTACATCGCGCACAGGAGCACGAAGAAGACAATGCATTTAAATCCTAAACCGCGTACAAAATGAAATTTCCCTTTCTACAAAACACCCTGGGGATCCTGCATCATCGCACGGAAGGGTACCATCCAAATGTGAATCCTTCTCAAGAAAATAACTATTAAAATGAGGTCCTTTTCATTCTGTTTTCCACCAGCACGTAAGGCGGTCCTTCAGCATCTAGGCTACTTCTAGAGTCCTAAAACTCAGCAAGCCAAACATACACTTTCCACAGAGAACTGGTATTTACTTGTGTCATGTACCATAAAAAGGGGGGTGGAAAAATCAATTACCAGAAGACAAGTTTCAAAGGATTACTTAAAAAACTAAAGTTCTGGAAACAATTCTGATGTGTTACACAAAGATGAGGGCGCTCTTGATGCCTAGGGGTGAGAAGCTGTGTTGCAACCTCAAAGGCACAGGGTTCAAATCCACCAGGTGCCCTGCAGGAGAAGGACAGGCAATCTCCTCTCATGCAATTTACTGACTGAAAACTTGCTGGAGGGTCAGCTACGGGTGGGTTCTGACTCGTCGGCACACAAGCAGCAGCAAAGATGACAACTGCCAAGCACAACACATCCATCCACCTCTGGGATTACTGTGGGAACCACAAATGCAGGGGCATGAAGGAACCCACTTTTTAGTATCTGACATGGAGAACAGCTTCAGCACTGGAGCCCTGACCTGCAGCTGCTCTGCTGCTCGGAGCTGTGGGTGACACATCACACCGGGGCTGATGGAGCTCTGCTGGTCCAGTATGTCACAAGCTGGGCTGTCAACCGAAAGGTCAGAGGTTTGAATCCATCAGCTGCTCTTCAGGAGAAGGGTGAGGCAGTCTCCTTCTTTAATTTAACAAGCTCAGGAACGCAACAGAAGGTCCCTTGAGTCAGAACCAGCACAGCGGCAGTGTGGTTTTGCCTGACAATGCCAAAAAGACAGTGCCAATTTTGGAAGAAGAGCAGCTGGAGAGTTCAAAGACAGTGAAGCTGTGTCTGAGTTATTTGGTGCCTGTTATCAAGGGGGGGCCCGTCCCTGGAGGAAGACATCACTCTTGAGTCAAATAAAGGGTGAGCAAAAACCAGGAAGACCCGTAAAGGAGTGGACTGACCCAGGGGCTCCAGCCATGGGCTCAAGTCCGGCCATGAATGTAAAGATGGCACAGACTCGGGCAGTACCTGGCTCTGGGACAGTTGCCTTATTGATACCTAAGGGCAGCACCATTGTGATGCGTGTATAGGAGGGATACTGGTAAACTGGCAGCAGTACCCCACGGCTCAGCTGCCTGGGATAGAAGTGGGGTCACCAGAAATGGTTGTTTGCCCCACTTGGTGCAGCACCCCCATCTGGGAATTCTGTCACGCTTTGCTTACCCCCAGGTAAGCATCTGTGCTGAGATAAGAGGCTCTTCAGTGGCTGTGGGAGACTGGACTCCCGTGGCATGTGCAACCTCTAGTTGTAGAGGGTCCTGATGTGACAGTGCTCCTGGGGCGGCGGGGTGGGGGTGGGGGGACAGCCGGACACACGAGGGCAAGCCTTCAGCTACCCAGTATTCTGAGCGAGGCAAAGACCCCCGAAAGATTGGTTCTTTAGGAGGAAGTATCAGTGTCTCTAACATTTAAACAAAAGATCATTTTTCATTTAAGTCAAGTAGCCACTATTTGAGAACTGGAAGGAGGCACACTTTCTGGAAGACTCTTCTACACTGCCTGCTAACATCTGGTATTAGAAAAAGACCTCTTTTTTTTTCCCCAGAAAGAGATAATAAGTTTGCTGAGAGTCCTAGAATGTGCTATTTTCTAATAAAAACATATGCATTTAAAAAAAATACTACATTGAAAGGGCATAGCTATTAAGACACCAAACCAATCATCCAGTTTATTGCGTCCCAGAGACGGGAAAAGGCAAAGGGGATTCATCTCATATGGACGGATTTGAAGGCTGTAAACTTTAAGGGAAGCCGACTGCCTCACTGATCTCCTTAGGAGTGGTTGGTGGGTTTGAACCACCAACCAGAAAGGTTAGCACTTTATCTAGACCTTGTAGCTACTGGAAAGGCTAAGACTTTTTTTTTTAAATACTCATAATTTCTTTTTCCTTTGAAGACTGAATCACTGGCAGCCTTGGGAGCCCACTGGAACACCTGCTACAAGCCAGCTCTGGGTCAAGGGCAGTGACTGAGTCACTGAATCACAGAAACATGCATTATCTGTGTACACTTTCCTGGACCTGAGACTCCGTTTAAAGTACTTTTGTCCTCCAAAACAATGACAAATCTGAAGTGTATTCACTCAGCTGCTAAACAACTAAAGGAAAGAAATCTGGGGACATGTGAATGATACCCGTTCTGGCCTTCTCAATGCCTTCTGTTGAGCAAGCAATCTGTTGTAGGAACCGTCCTGGGTGTGCCTCTCTCTGAGAGACCGGACTACAGAAATGGCCCACTCTGTCCTCTCACTTTAGAAAGTGTTCCTGTCTGGTCTTCACAGCAAAAAACACAAAGTCTGTCCACTTAAAAAGTGAAGTCAAGAAACCAAGGGCTTACACACCTACGATGAGCTGTCCTTTATTCCTGTCATTATTTATTTGTATACTTAAAATATTTGCAAAATAAAATCCATTTCAAATAGATACTGGTCTGGTGTGAACTATTTCCTCAAGTCACTGTGATGCTTTGTAAATCCGAGCTCATCACATTGTTAACAGAAGTTAACGACGGCCTGAAGAATACATATTATTCTTAGTGCTATCTTTTTAATAATAATCGTCAAAGTGCTCTATAAAAAACAAGGGAATAAAACATGTGCTAGAAGCTCTCTGGAAAGAGTATTTTATGTTCTATTTGCTACATATAAAATGAGCTTCCCAACAAGCATTCTTTCTATTTGATGAAACTGGAAATTCTGGTGGATAATAATTAGAATTTTTATATCAGAGGAGACAGCTATCAGTTTTTATAATGGCTTCTTTTATATTTCAATTAAGTTTATGAAACTGAAAAACTACCCTAAGAAAAGGGAGGGGGGGAAACACACCCAAGTTAAATTAGTGTAGATTCAGCACTGACCGTTATGGTAAAGAAATGACTCTTCTTGTTTTGTTCCAAAAGTGATAAAAAATTAAAAAAAAAATAAAATGCAAAAGTCAATAAAACTGTTAAAATAAGTTTCGGTAAATTACCCAGATCAAAACCCAGTGGCTTTTTATTAAACATGAACTTTTGTTCCGTTTCTCGGAATACGTAAATAGTGCTGACAACTGGTTTGTGAGGCTCTTGCTACAATAAAATGTAATTGTATCATGAGAGAAAGGTGACAATCAGGAGATCATGAAAAAATTACATATTCTCACTGGTAGTTAATTAGCCATGCAAAACCTCCTCAAACAGATATTCTTTTCTATTAGGAATGATTACTATGCAGCCCTACGGATGTCAATACCACAGTCATTCAGATACTTCTTTCCCTACTAATTGAAGGTTGTAAAGCTCTGATGCCAAGGTTTTGCTTCCAAAGAGCTAATTTATGACTAGAAGGATATTTTATGTCTTCAGTTGCAGCAGCGACAAAATTCAGCAAATCAGAACCATCTGTGCACTGGTACTTGACTCACCCCTCATCTCGTATCCTATCAGTCACATTAGCCTGCATCCTGCATTCTTGGCGTGCGAACGCTTGTGAGGTTCCAAAGTGCATAAGAAATATTAAAAATGAATGGCATCCTGACCCTGCTTTATTGTGTACACACCAGAAAAAAAAAAAGAAAACAAAACAAAACCAACTCCCTAAACCAAAAATATACCCCCACCCCCAAGGATAGTGGTAAAGAAGAGAGATGGAGAGTTAGTTACCTGTGTCATACTGTTGCTAACAGCAGGCACCAGTGTCCCCTACCTTCTTATAAAATGTTTTAAGTTCCCTTTCTTTTATATGTTTCAATTTTTTTTTAAAGGTCAGTTGGAAGATGATATTATACTTTTTACTTTAAAAAAATTATAAATTACACCAATTCTACTACTGGTGTGGTGATTTCAACTCTGTGGGGTTTCTTTATCAAAGGAGATGGCCCACCTTTCCCGCAGAGCAGCTCAGAGACGCAAACAGTAGATCTTTCAGTCAGCAACCCAGTGCCTGGCACACTGCACCAGCAGCACTGCACAGACGGAAATATCAACACGTTCAGGTCACCACCACTAAGCTCTGGACAGGCCGGCAGACAAAGACAGTGCAATAAGAAAGAAGGGGGGAAGGAAGGGAGGGAGAAAGGAAGAAAGGAAGTAAAGAGGGAGGAGGGAGGGAGAGAGAAAGAAGAAAGAAAGAGAGAGAAAGAAAGAAAGGCTCTCACCAGTGAAGTCAGACTAGCTTTCCATCCTGTCTTGGTAACTCCATGAACAGGCCAAAGACCCTACACTTTTTCTCTAAAGACTTTTTTGGCTTAAAATGTTCCTCTTCTTGGCTAAGATTACACACTTTGTTGTTGTTGTTGTTGATTGCCTTCAAGTTGAGCACAACTCATAGCAACCCTATGAACAAAAGGCCTGAAGCCCTTCTACAAATAATCAACGTTTATCAAAGTTCATAGAGTTTCCGGAGGGAAGTTGTTTAGGAAGTGGAAGCCACACTTCAGTTAAAATTAAGATCTAATGAGTAAGAAACTGACCGACTGACTTTGCAATCTAAAGCAACCTGAGTTGACAGGAAAGGCTGCCAGGAATGACGCTACTGACCTTTTGCTTGTGTGGAGCGCGCACCTCCGTGCCGTGTCCGCTCGTGGAAAAGGCCAGTGGTCCTAATGGTGTTTCTCCAGAGTTCAGAATCTTCTTGAACATCTGGTAGTCCGGCTTCTCATTATATGCCAAACTGGAAGCACATTCCAAAAAATGGGCTATTTCACCTGTGAAGTATTAGAATATTTTTGAAGTCATTTTAAACTAGAAAAAAACCCAGCAATATTCCCAGACCAACCCACCATCTTCAAGTCGATTTGGACTCAGAGCAGTCCTCCACTGGGTTTCTGAAGCTGTAAATCTTTATGGGAGGACTCTGCCCATCTATCTACAGAAGAGCAGCTGGGGGTTTTGAACCAGTGACCTTTGGGTTCCCAGTGCCTTACACTATATCATCTGAGCTCCTTATCAAGATTCCAGGAACTGCCAAATCCCTTTGTATTTTCTGTCTGACAAGTGTGCACATGCGCACACACAGGTCCCAAAGAAAGTAAAAATTCAATGAAAATTGCTTTCTAATGACACTTTAAAATGACTAACAAAACCAAAAACAAAACAAAACAGAAACTAACAAAGGTGTTGTTGTGTGCTGTCAAGTTGGCACTAATCCATAGCTGACCTCCAGTGGGCTTTCATAGACAATTAATTGCATGGGAAGACACTGTCCATCCTTCTACTGTGGGTCTGCTGGTTGACTTGAACCGTGTGCTTTTGGGAATGCAGTGCAGCTTCTTACCACTGAGAAAACTGGTAGTTTGGTTACTTTGGGTTTTTTTTTAAGGAAAAAAAAATCTTTATTGAAGTATTGACATTGACCAATATTACTGCCTAACCCTCAACACGATGGACTGATACTGTGGCTGGAGGAATGGGATCGAGCATGTCTCAGATTGTGGGAATGGTGCAGGATGAGGCAAGGGTTAGATCTGTTGTTCACTGAAATGCTGTGAGTCATAGAGAGAGCTCAGTTGGCCTAGTGGATAGAAAGTTATGCTACCAAGCCAAAGGTGGGTGATTTTAATCCATGGCCTCAGGCCTGGCTTTAATTGTTTTTGGTCAAACATTCTTCTAAGTGGTACAGCACTGGTCTGTGCATTTACTGTACAGAGGTAACTCTTGTTTGCTGTGATGCTAACACTGTAACACTGATGAGTCAAATGCGATAACGGTTACCCATGGTGGACAGTGTTTGGTGGAGCTCCCTGATTAAACAAGCTTGGAAGCAGGAGTGGCATCCACTTCCGAAATAGCTTGCCTCTGGAAACCCTATGACCTTAAAGAAACGATGAAAGTTATACAAGTGTTCAGATCTTTCATTCATAAGGTTGCTATGAGTTGTCTACACCTTGATGGCTCTTAACAACAACAATCTCATGGAAGGCAGCAAACTAAATAATTAGATTAATAATATCTAACAGTAATTATTATTGTTATGTATCCTTGAGTCTGAAAAGCCTCCAGTAAATTACATAGGAGGAGACTGTCCAACTTTCTCCCACAGAGCAGCTGGTGGATTTGAACCATATGCCTTTGGATTGGTACCACCAGGCCACCAGAGCTCCGTGGGATGCAACAACTATGAACTACGTGGATAATATAATAGACCAAGAGGGCTTTGTTAAGTTGAACCTTTAGAAATGTGGTTTAAAACACCAGGAAAGCTCACTCCCTTCAAGGTGATTCTGACTCTGAGGCACCCGACAGGTCAGGATCCTAAAGCAAAACAAGCCCGCTGCCACTGAGTTGCCTGACTCATAGTGGCCTGCCGTCAGGTTTAGGATGAGGCTGCCCATATTTCTCCAGCAAAGCAGCTGACAGATTCCTGCCCTGAGTTAACACCAGAGCTCCTGACAGGAAAGCACAGAGGGTGCCAAGGCTGCCATTCTTATGGAAGCAGACCACCTTGTCTGTCCTTCTCTTCTTTGGAGTGAAGAGTGGGTTCAAACTGCTGACCTTTCAGTTCACAGCTACATGCTTTACTGTACCATTAAGGTTCCTAAGTTAACATTAACTCTTCTTTTATATAAACACAATATACTATACTTGTATAGCATACATATGTTCTATCTACTGTCTCTCAGAGAGAGAGTGTGTTAGTTACTCGAGAGAAAGAGATATGTATTCATAGATATATTTAAGGATTTGACTTTGCAATTATGACAGCAAGTTTAAAGTTGCCCCAGAACTCCATTTTTAAGCCAAAACTGGCTTTAGAATGGGCCAGCCTTCCTCAAGGTCTCCACAGCAGGCTAGCCGGTGTATTCAGTGCCTGTCACCTGAGACCACACACTCTCATTGCCATCACATCAGAACCAATTCGTGGCTGACCCTCCAGCAGATTTTCAGAGGCTGTAAATCACATTGCAAGAGACTGCTCATCTTTCTCAGGGTAGCTGGTGGATTTGAACTGCTTGCCTTTGGGTTGTCAGTGCAACCCTCTATTGGTTAGACCACCAGACTACATACTAACTATGTACAAAGAAATTATTTACAAAGTTTTAACTGTAAATATATTGGTAACCAAAAGTTAACAGACAACTGCATTTAAATGCATGTGGTTCCCAAGAGAGGCTTAATAAAAAAGTTGAGATATAAGATGGGCAGGTTTTCATCTGTCCATACAAATGTTAGTTACTCCACAAACCAAGTTGTACAACCTATCATCTTCTTTATAATAATAAGTGGTGTTATGTGCCATCGAGTCGCCTGCAGCTCATAGCAACCCCATGCACGATAGTTCTGAATCCTGCCCTGTCCTGAGCCAGTTTCACTAACTCTTACACAGTTACCGTCATTACCCCGGTTACTGTGTCAATCCACCGCATCCGGGGTCTTCCTCTCCTGTACTGTCTCTCCACTCTGCCTATCATGATGTTCTCCAATGACTGGCCCCTCCTGGCTACATGCCCAAAGTATGTGAGATGGAGCTTCAAATTCCTTGCCTCCAAGGAGAAATGGTTTCACCCTCTCCAAGACAAACGTATTTATTCTCCTGGCAGTCTATGGTTTGTCCATACTCTTCTCTGGTACCACAACTCAAAGGCATCAATTTTACTTCTGCCATACCTAGTTACTGTCCAGCTTTCTGATGCATAGCAAGTAACTGTGAAGACCGTGGCTAGGATCAGTTGCACCTTAGTCCCTACACTGACATCATTACTCTTCAGCACTCTGGAGAGGTCCTTGACAGCAGACTTTCCAAGTGCAATTCATCTTTTGTTTTCCTGACTCCTCATGCCAAGAGTGTGGGTTGTGCAGCCAGGGAGACTAAAGCTGCTAATAACCTCAATCTCTTCTCCATCTATTCTGTTGCTGCCAACTGGCCCAGTGGTGAGAATCTTTGTCTTCTTGATGTTGAGCTTCAATCCATATTGAATACTACAGTCCCTGACATTCTGCAGCAAACGCTTTAGCCCCTCTTCTATTTCAGCAAGCAGGGTTGTGTCATCTGCACAATGCAGTTTGTTGATGAGTCTACCTCCAATCCTGATGCCACATTCCTCCTCATAGAGCCCAGCCTCCTGGATAATCTGTTCCACATACATATTGAAAAGGTATGGGATAGGACATATCCCTGATGCACCACTGTCCTGATTTTGACCATGTGGTGTTTCTTGCTCCGTTCTGAGGATGGCTATATACAACAGAGCACCTTTAGAGTAGAGTAGTGGATAATGGCACCTGAGGCTGAGCTTTTGAATTTGGAAACAAAAATGAGGAACAGTTGTAAGCAGATACTAATGGCTGGAACATGGAATATGAAAAGCATGAATGTAGGAAAACTGGAGATTGTTAAGAAAGAAATGGAATGGAAAAAAAAAGTCTTGACATACTAGGTATTGGCAAAATGAGATGGACTGGTATGGGACATTTTGAATCAGATAATCATATGGTTATAGTAGTAATTATGTAACTATGCAAGAGATGAAAAGGTAAGGAAAAATGGGGTTGCTTTCATGGTTAAAAAGGTCATTTTTAGATCTACCTTGAAATACCATATTGTGAGCCACAGGATAATATTCATACGCATAAACATTAGGGACTTCCAAACACACATTCTTACTCTGACTGGGTCATTTACATCTCATGGTGGGGTTCAGGTTCTAGGTCATTCATTTATGGCACAGGCAACAGGGACTCCTAATCCTCCTATCCTCCTACTTCACATTCATCCACTCTAGTTTTCCCTAGAGGGAAAAATCCCACAAGAAATGGTAATTATCCTCATCCTCTGCTAAGGTGCTCTGGTGGTCTAGTGGTAAGGAGCTGCGTTGCCAACCTGAAAGCACACGGTTCAAATCTACCAAATGCTTTGTGGGAGAAAGATGAATAATCCACCTCCATGAACCCACGGAAGGGTCAGATATGGACAGAATCCAACTTAATGGCACCTAATTAGGCAACAAGTGGACATCAGAGAGTAACTATATTTCATGGTCCAGAGCTAATTTTCAAAAATATGAGGCTGACATGGCTAAAACACGGAGGGAAGAGTGGCAGTCAGCTTCTATGAAGGCTGAGTCTTTGTTGAAACTCTGTCCCCTAGTTATGAGTTAGAATGGATGACCTTGCAATAAGGTGTTTGGTTTGGTCTGGCTGAATAAAACGAGAAACTTTGGCTCTGATTGGGTTTTTTTTTAAAGGATAAACAGCATTGCCATTCTGTGAGCTATTTCTCCCTTCTTCTGTCTAATTCAGGAGATGGACCCACTTTTGCCAGCCACATTTCATCATCTCTAACAGCCAGGTTTACTGCTTCACCCCCACAGAGTGAACTCTGGCTCCCAGAGGCCCTCCAGGGCAATCCAAATTCTGAAAGGATGGTGAGAAAAATGAAAACAGCTAGATCATTTTAATATAGAATATGAACAACTGTTGTCGTTAAGTGTTGTCGAGACAATTCGTGTAAGAGCAACGTCAACTGTCCTTCGGTTCTGTGAAGATTGCTAGCTCAGGTTTGGGATGTGTGGCAATTTCATGAACCAAATATCCCAAATGGAGAACAAGGGTGTTCCCAGCTGCTCTCAAACCACCAGTGGAAGACAATGGGAGACTTCTGGCACGCCACTGGCTCACAGCATCTGGGCTGCAAACTCTTTATGGATCTGGGGGAAAGGAGGGACTGCTGAGGGAGCAGAGGTAGACAAAGAAAAGGGTTCCTAGTGCCCATTAGACAATCACTATTATAAACCTGAACCTGAAGGCTATTTGGAAGCGATTGGGTTTAAAGTGTTAGCTCTTCAAGATCTGGATTCATTATATTAAGTACATTAAAAAAAATTGACTAGCATATTTCCAGAGCCATAAAACAAAATGCTTTGAGTACTATAAAATTATGGCATTCTTGAATCATCTGCTTTTTAAGATAGAGAAATATGAAGTATCATTACTTTCATTTCAAGAGAGAGAAACTTTTGAGAAACTATTATTATTATTATTACACTGAGTTAGACATGCTAGCTGCAAACTTCTTAGCTATTATACACACACACACACACACACACACACTCAGTGGTAAACCTTTTCCTTTAATTTTCACACTCGTAATAGCCTCTCTCTTAAGGATCAAAAGCCTCCTAATTGGAGACACCTTCACTGAATATTACAGCTTCAACATTTGGGGGTTTTGAAAGAGAAATGTACAGCTTATTTTAAAAAAAATGGGTTTAACAAAATGGCTTGTAAGGAAGAAATGATACGTGGCATCTCTCTAGTCTAGATTTCTTATTTGACTCAAATCTCCTAATTCAACAAGAGAGCCACCACAGAATATACCCTGGCCCATAGCATTTATCACATGCAATCAAGGATTTCCTTACGATGAGTTCTAAGCCTTCACAATCAAACAGTAATTTTTGTGCAGGAGAGAGGAAAAATAGAGATGTGAAGTTTGTTTTCGTTTCTTAAATAACATCTTATTTCCACTCTTTTTTTACACTGGTTTACATACAAAGTTCATAAAGTTCATATTTATTGTTATTCACATATCCTTTTGAGTAAGACATGACTCGGTAAAAATGTCTATAAAATAGTAGTAAAAAAATAAAATGGGCAATTGAAGCAGCTTATGCAGTGCTGTTAAAGAAACCCAAAATAAAACCTTTCTTTCCAACCTATCCCGCCAGTTTCGAATGCTCCGACATGCTATTCGTCCTCCTTCCCTCAAAGGACAACGTACCACAGAAAGGAGGAAATGGGAGAGTCTCCCCCAGACAGACAGCAGGACATAAGAAATGGAGGTCATAGAGCAGTATCCCCCCCACCTCACTTTCTTTCATTCCCCCTAGACCCTAAATAAATGTTCCTGTGAAAACGTTGGTCTCTAGTGGAAGAAAGGCAGTAAACACCACGTGTAGGGGTGACTTGACTCTGCCTTTCCCTCTCTGGTGGAAGCTGTGGGGTGACATGACCTGAGCTGGAGGGTCAGCATGTGTACCTGCTTTCAGAAGTCAGCTCAAGGCTAATTTTGAGATTGCCCAATTTAACTAGAGAACAAGATGCCTTCTGCTTATCTGTCTGTGGAAAAGAAGGGCTGACAGCAGGAGCGGGCTCTTTTCGTGAAGACAATCTAACTCAATTGTTAAATTAGTGGTGAACAATGTGCCATGTATGCATATACAAATGACAGGAACTTGACTCTCTCCGAAATTGACTGCCTATTTTATACTGACAATAACTGTCAGTTAAATACTCCTAGAAAAGGTCTTTGCGAACTTGAAAAGGGAGGGAGGGGAAGTTTTTCCACGAAATACAGCGATAACTCTCAAGGTCAGGTGTCTTGACAAGCTCTGTATTTTTGTTTTCTTTTTCCTGGATGTTGGTCACAAACTAACACAATGCTTAAGCAGCAATTCGAAGGGTCGGATGATGTGATTCCAAGTAGCCTTTTCTTAGGTTGGCAGCACCCACTTTCAACAATCACAGAGGAGAAAAAAAGAAAAATCTCCAATCTGGAAACACCAGACACAGTTGGTTATTAAACCTCTGTCTGCTTCTCAAAAATAAGCATCTTAAAAAAAAGTTACAATCAGCAGAGGGTTCTTGTATTTTAATGTCAAAGATGATCTATCTGTGTTCTTTTTAAGCGGACGATCTGTAACCCCGACAAAGTTTCTCCCTCCCCAGGTGGGGATGGGAGAGGGCAGGTGAAGCTGAAGCTACAAAACAAGGACCACGAAAATGCACAAGAATGGTAAATCATACGGGAGACGCAGACGTGATCGTTTGACTTACAGCAGCTGCTTCTAGAAGGCGCCCATCTGAGCACGGACTCGGGGAGCTCGTCCAACAGGCTGGAACAAAACACAGAGAGCAGCACATGCTGCATTTGTTTTCAATCCAGACACTCGCTGCTCTGCTCGGAAAACAAAACCATGTCTAGATTGAGGGTCACCAGAAATGCAACTTTCAACACCTTGTTTCCCCCACCTTGCAGTGGGAGGGTAAGGAGTCGGGGAAAACTCTAAATTCCCATGGAACTTTTCTGTCCCAATCAGCTAGAAACCAAATTACGGAGCATTCAGGTGTATAATGGTAAAGCCAAAACCACTGCCTTCGAGTGGACGCCCACGTCAGACAGATCAGAGCAGTCCCATGGGGTCCCTCACGCTGTCACTGCTGTGGAGAAACTGCGACAGAACAGCTGGGAGGTTCAAACCACAAACCTTTCAGTCAGGGACCAATGGCCCGAGTTGTATGCAGAGACCTGCAGACCCAGGGACATCTCTCATGATCATTTGCTTCAAAGTGACAATATAGATTTACAAACAAAAAAAAGCTACCTGAACTTTCAGAATAGTTTTGCTCTGGTACTAACACTGGAGAAGGGGGCACAGTTTACCCAACCATTAATCAGGGTAACAAGAAACATTCAAAAGGCACACAGAGAAAACAAATACAGAGATAAATACAGTCCAGAGTCCAGTACTTTGAGACTGAATGGGTAGAACTCTGTAAAGTTGTTGTGGCCACAGAAATATAAATATTCATCTAAAAATTTTAACTTGGGTGTCTGACTCCCAAATTCAAGCAGAACTACAACAATAAAGGCGTCAATCTAAGATAGCCAATCTTTGGTAAATAAACGGCACTAGAAAATATTGTATATATTATACTTAATTATAAAGCATATAGCTTTTTCTCTGTAAATGTTCATTAAAACTAATTTAAAAAAAAGAAACAAAAAAAAAAAAAGCATATAGCTTTTAATGTACAGATGTGACCCGTAGGGGGAAGTTCAATCTTCTGAATTCTATAGCAATATGCATCTGTTACAATTATGTTTTATACATGGTCAGAACTATAAAAAAAGCTTAGTTTATTTGAATTGAAAACTATTTGATATTATGTTAACTAGTTTAAGGTTTCCATTATTAATTAGGTAAAAAGCAAGCTTTTTTAAAGAGTCTCCAAATACAAATGGAGGTTAACAACATTTGATTACATTGTTTTACACAGCACTTTATTATACCTGAATATATTCAAGTAGACACATTCATAATGTATACCTACATCTCTCTGTTGATGGTGTGTAAGCAGACCGATACAAACTAAAAGCAATCCTCATCAGCAAAGCGTATTCTAAAAATCCCATGTAATTCTCAGAATTAAAAGGCTAGTTTTTAAAATACAGAACACCAGTCACATTAGGCACAGTGAGTTGGAAAATTGGATACCAAGGCTTTACATATGCTCATTACTGTGCACTGACTCGACCCAACAGCTGATAAATGCCAGTTACACGAAGGATGATGGGGGCACATCAGTCACTGAGTGGGAAAAAAAAACCCACCAAAACCTTCCAAAAACTGATGAGATATTTCTACTATCAACTTACATAAATGTGTTAGTTTGAGGACTTGAGTGCTTCAGATTCCAAGTGGAGAAATACTACATACGTGTCAGCACGCACAAGTGTAATCTGTATTATTCTGAATCTGTAGGCTAACCTTTCTCTCTTCTGAGTACAGATGCCACACCGAATTTGAAGATTGATATCTATGGCTGTGATACCCCTTTGGAACACTTCTGTTGTGACTTGCCCTACTTATAACTAAGCTGCCTTTCTCAGTTGTGAGGTTCTGCCTGTGGATAACTACTATTGGACATTATCTCGGTGTATAATGAAAAGCTGCCTGTTTTGTGTGACATGCAATGGACTCTTTTCTCAGGCCTGATCAGGAAACGCACGGTAAAAATCACTAACACACTTTGTTCTTCGTCTGACCTAATTTTCATGCTAACAGATTCAAAGTGATAAAAAATCCGGAGTGTGGAATATGAAGCATGTTAATGGGGCTGCCAGATCATCTCCTATGCGAGTATAAAAGTTTTGCTTGTTTCTTCCTCCAGAAACAAAACGTAGTCCCCTCCAACCCAGATGATTCGCGTGGAGGTACTGTTACTCTTCCCTGAGTAATACAAGCCCTACTTCTGCTGCCTCAAGTTATTGTTCTATTCATTTAATACCCAGCATACGAGTGCCTGGTGCTTGTACAGTGGTAATATGGAAAACATTCTCCTCTGAAAATGCCACCACATAGAGGCTGAGCTGTAGAGCACACACTTCACTTTGTATCTGGCATTACAACTCCCGTTCATGTGACTGTGGAGGTGTTATCTTGATGGAGTTTATGCCGGCCAGCTGTTGGAGGGGGATGGGGGTTCTGACAATATTGTTTGAATGAAAGGCCTTAGCCCTGGCCTGCAGGCTGGCTGAACGGCGGTCCTGAGCTCGGTCAGCCCCCCTTTTGGGCAATGATGGGAGTACTTGCGGGTCTGTACTTTGCTTTGGCTCTCTGCACGGCCAGGGGGTCCGCCAGGTCGCCTTCCCAGGGCAGCTTCCCGCAGGCCCACCGCAGCATGCAGTAGCCAAGGATCTCCAGGTCGCTCCGTCTGGACAGGGCTAAGGGAACAAAACAGCAAGAGTTCAAGGTGACGGCTGGGGACGTGGTGGAGAAACAGAGAAATCTTTGAGTGAACAACTGTTGATAAAAAGTATTTTTTTAAAATATAGAAAGAAAGAAAGAAAGGCAAATGGGCAGAGTGTTTTGTTTGTTCAGCTGGAGTCAAACTGGAGGGGGAAAAAAGCGTCCGGGCGCTTGGCTTGGGGCTGCAGAAAGCGAGGGTCAGCTGCCCCACCTCCTCCAGCCAGCTCCATCCTTCCTTCGTCTGGCCTGTCACATGAACTTGATCCCCACGGCCTCTGACATGATCCAGACAACCCAGAACCTGGCACCGGCACTTGCGCCAAGAGCGAGGCAGGAAAACAAAGAAAGAAATGTCTGCGGCGAAATTGCTAACACATGTTGCAGGAAGTCCACGGGGGCTGCACTGGTCATGCTGGGGACCCCTCCAAGTGCAGACTAAACACGGACGGCCTTTCCTGCTCGCCGCATCTGCTGTCTCAAGACTAGGGCGAAAGTGCCATCTAGTGTACAGCCCGGAAACCAGGCTCGCCTGGCATTTCCTTGAAGCGCACGGGCCTCCTGAACAGAAAACCTACAGGTAACAGCAGTGGGCGGCATGAGGAGTGGTGATTTCAAAGTCTTCTGGAATTTCATGTGAGATTTCTCTTGTTGTTAGGTGCCGTCGAATCGAGTACAACTCACAAGTGACACCTATGAACCCCTGATCTAAAACTTGCTTGCCCTCATCCGGGGCCACCTTCATCGTCTCTGACACACTTAAGTTTCCAAAATAAAAATACAGCAAAAGAAGAACATCTTGAAACCCCTGTAAGTATCATTTATAGTAAATGCTAAGCATATTAATATCATCGAGAACTATATATATATATATATATGTATTTCTTTTACACTCCCTTGGTCAAGAGATGGAAATAAACCTAAAACCGGTCAGAATATAACCAGAAATTACTAAGAAATCACTGAAATGATTAAAACACCAATTCATGCACTCCTCTGTTCTATAACCAGGCTAAAGCATTACCAAAGAATGGACTGCCATTTATATCTCTCCTGTCACTTGAATATTCATCTGTGTAGGTTACACGCTCTTTTAAGGACAATACGTGGCTGTTAAACCCCACTGTAAACAGGTATCCTGTTTTATTATCGTTCATTCAACACTCTGGAAAGTCACTCCGTAAGCTTGAGTTTTTCATTTAAAAAGTCATCTATTCAAGAGTAACACTGCCAATACTTCAGAAGTACTTTTGGTTACTGCACCTAAGTTATTATAAAAGCAGAAGACAAGATTCGCTCTTACACACACTCCGTCTTAACTGCTATTAGAGTATTGGGTTATTAAAGGCCCTTCAATCTAGCAGAATGCTACAGCCCCATGGGTGCCATTTACTTTCTGCGTGAGCTTCAACAATGTCCTAATGCAAGACTTGGCTCTCATGTGAAAATGAAAACACAATCTCCACCATGCAATTCTGTAGCAATTTCTTCAGTAATAAATCTCCCATTAATAATGGAATGGCTCCATTTGTACAGATGTGTTCCCAAGCCCCTTTTTCCATTATGGCAATTCCTGACTACTACCACTTAGGAAAAAAATTAGTCACATCCTCCTAATTTTCAAAAACTGATATTCTGGCACCTGATTGGATGACTTGGGCTACACACAAGAGGCCCTTTGAGGGAAAAAAATCAGAAGGAAAATGGAATGAACCTTCCCAGCCACGTCTCCTATCTCCCCAACTGAGGGATTAATTGATACCAAGCTCTAAGTAACAACAAGTCATTTAGATTTCTGAAGTCAATCTTCCATAAACTGATCTTCATTGGAAAGAGCCCTGGGAGAGTTAGCTTTACTTCACTATTACAGTTTGGTCTTACCTAATTAAAATACATCATTATATTTTTCCATCTCTTATTTATTTTCTCTTACTGAATCTATACGTTAACAGGGATGCCCAGGTGGCCTAGTGGGTAAGGAGTTGTACAGCCAACTCCAAGGTGGGTAGTTCAAATCCACCAACTGTTCAAAGGGAGAAAGATAGACAATCTCTTCCCATGTCATTTACAACCTCTCAAAACCTGATGCAGCGCTAGCTAGCTATGAGTTCTGAATCGACAACAATGAAGTTTTCTTAACATCTACATTAACAACTATGGTGAGGGAAAGAAATGTTTTCTTTTTCTACTCACTTATATTAACCCCCCCCCCAAAAAAAAAACAAACAAACCAAAAACAGAAAACCAGCAAGCTCTGGTGGCCTACTGGCAAGAAGCTGCACTGCAATCTCAGAGGTACACAGTTTGAATCCACCAGATGCTCTGCTGGAGAAGGAGGAACAATTGCCTCCTGTATCAGTCAGACATGATTTGATGATAAACACAAAAAAAGTAATGAAATGAACTAAAAATTTAAAAACAAACAAAAGAAAACCCCAAGTTCTTCCACTAAATTCTACAGAAACAAAAGCAATTTTAAACAGAACCAATAGTCACTCATTTCCATCATTAAGGAGTGAAACAGGAGTATTAAAAATATTTCTGAGTACATACAACTCCTTGGAATTCTCGCTCAGAGAAAGCAATGTAAAAGTTTGATTTGTTTTAGTGAAGTTAAAACCTCTGGCTGCACCAGTCATTCTGTCTTTTCACTGAATATGCACACAAGATTAATTTTAATATCTTGTAAATTAATTAAAAGTAAATATTCCAGATGATAATATTTGAATATGCACGTGTAAGTGTATAATTAATACAAAGAACAGATCATTGTTGAAGAGACTATTCCTATCTAACTATGTAAAAAAAAGAAATATATATATATATATTTCCATTTTAAAGATACTCATCGGATTACACAATTTTTTCAATTTAAATATATGCTAAACGAAACATTAAATAGAAAAGGCTCTGGATGAGGAATACTAAAATTAGAGATTTAATTCTGGCTTTGCCACTATTATACTTCTAGCTCTAAAATTTGATTGAAGATGGGAAATGTATTTCTTTTTCACCCATTTTCATTTATTTGAGCAGAAAAATACATCGATGAATTGCTTGAAATGCTTTATTCCCCAGTGAGTGACATATCTGTGTATTATATATATCTTAAGTTAATTAATATAAATCATTGCTAGTATGTTTACAAAAAGATCTCTATTTAAAAAAATCAGCCTCTACACGCAAGACTATTTAGAAATGTAAAAAGACTCAGTAATTAACAAGAAGTTTCCTTTACACTTTTCCAAGTTATTTCCTATTATCATTTGGCATTTCATGTTTAATCTAGCCAGCAAACGTGGAGCCATGTAAATGTCTCTTTCCACTTAAAGTCCATGGTTCTCTCATGCGTCCAGCATTACAAAACCCACGGCCAAGAATAAACCTAATAAAGACAAAAAAAAAAAAAAAAGAAAAAGAAAAAAGGCCCTGGTGGGGATTTGGTGTCTCCTTCATGAAGAAGCAGATTCCAAGAAGGGCTGACATCAGAGTGAACATTTAAAACAAACAAACACACAATTGATGCACTTTACAGAGCTGCTACTGTGCCAGGCATTCTAACTGTACTCGTGTTATTGCAACTAGTCATCAAACAATCACATAAGGGGTTATGATCCCTGTTCTTAAGTTAGAACGCAGAGGTTCTGGGAGGTTAAGTCATTTGCCCAGCAACACAGAGCAAACAGGAACAGACCCCAGTACTGAAGCTCGGATCTGTCAGATCCTAAAACTTACTCTGCTAAGTACAGGCTTTACTTCCAATGTTATTTGAACACTTATTTAAGCAACAGTGCGTACTTTCACAGGTGGGGACGTATCTGAAGCAGACACTTTAGCTCAAGACACAGAGACATACGGACATAAAGAAGGCTGTTGGGGAAATGCATAAACAAGCCCAGCTCTTGAAGGCTTAACCTCCATGACTAACAACAATTTTCATGCAACTCTTCTCTCATGAAACTGTTTCTTCCAAACTTCTTCACACTGATGAAGACGCATTTCCAGTGTAAATCGTTACAGAAAAAGTACAAAATAGTAATTCCAGGCTGGGAGTGGCTCAGAAAAAGTTACTTTGGAGTACAGACCACAGAGCCAGACAGAAATAAAATTATTTGTGTCCAATGCAGCAGATGGAATGAAAGGGGAATTGGGAGAAAAGGAAAGTATAAATGTTAACCCCCAAATGAGTCTAAATATTTGCATAGTGTTTTTGCTTTATCTCTTCTAAAGAACATTATGGGATACACACGTACACACACAGCAACATGGAAGGTTTGTCAAGAAACAATACAGTGAAACAAAAAAAAGTTTTGCCTCAGGCAGCTTAAATGCCCCAAATACTAGTTTATATGTTCAGAAATGGAAGAAGAGTCCAGAAAACATCTAAGTAAAATGCTCACTTGATGAAATGAAAGGTGGCTATCTGCAGAAAAACAAAGTTTTTATCCAACTTAGTGACCTATATAATGCCGTATTTTGTCAAACTGGATGTGGAAGAGCTCGAAAATTTTACAGTGGCCACTATTTACTGTGAATTCAAAGAAAGTAAGGGAGTTCTGGTGGCATAGTGGCAAGATGCTGCACTGCAATCCCAGAGGTACACGGTTCAAATCCACCAGATGCTCTGCTGGAGAAGGAGGGTGCAATCTCCTCCTGTACCAGTCAGATCTGATTTGACGGTACACATAAAAATAATACAATAAAAATTTAAAAAAGAGAAAGTATTAGGGAAGCTGAATGCAATGTGCAACATTTCAAATAGAATATAGCAAGCCCTAGGCTTCACCTTTTTTTAAAAAAAACACAAAACACAACAGCAACCTTTTATATTCTACCCAAAATCCACCCATGAAGTCAGTTTTGACTCTTGCTATCTAAGAGTTATCTTCATAACTAAGAGATTCTAATTCTGGATGGGAAGAGACAGCCTCACCTATTTCCAGTGGGGTGTGGGGGGTGTGGAGGCTGGTGGGTTTGA